TCACCAATTATTGTTTTGACATATCAAATTACTAAATTTCCCATACAAAAACATTTGTTTTAAGTTTTAAGTATTATTTTTAACACTTTTTAAGACAAAACAATACACGTCGCGAGTCAATTAGAAGTACACTTCTTAAATACTAATAGGCTACTGAAATACTGCAAGAGAATTTTAAGACAGAAAAGAGAGGATTAAACAGTTATCCAAAGATCTTCTCTTCTCACCCCTCTCATCATTCGCTCTCTTTTCTAACAAATCATAAAAGTCATTTTAAATATACATGTCAATGTCATGTAAAGAGCAGTGCATAAAAAGACAATAAGCTTATCAATGATATTGGTTCTCTTCTTCTCTCTTCTCTCTTTTCTTTGTTTTTCTCTCCTTTTTCCTTTCTGCTCTGTAAACAAAAAGGAAAGCTTACTAGAGATCCGTTACTCTGTTTACCTTTTCTGTTAATTTCAGTTATGTTAATTAACCAGATGTTAAACAGATGTCATCTTTTTATATATAGCCATCTATGGTTAGAAACTTGCACTAAAGGCATATTTCTCAACTAGATTTGACGTTACAGTCAAAAAACTTAACAACTTGTGAAATATTTTATAATGGATTACAATACATTAATGAAGTAATGGTTATTCGCCTTACTCAGTTGTAATTGAAAACCGGAAATAGGTATATTCCTCCCGCATTTAAACCATTTTTCTGCCCAAACGACCTTATGTGACCTTATTTCAATGCGACCTTTAAACCCACATAAACCATTTGTTTTTGTTTTTTTTTTTTTTTGAAGAATATTTAAATGAGCATTCTGAGCTGGAGCTTTAAGAGCGATTGCCATAAGCCAGTGGCAAGCTAATGCCGTCATTCAATGTCAGGCAATTTCCGGTGCACAAAACAGAGCTCCGCAACCTGGACGCCGCAACATGGTCCTGGCAAATTCGCAAATTCGAAAATTCCGCGAAGGGCAATGGCAAATTGGTAATTGGTATACCGTTAACGCACTGCGGACAGGATGGGACAATCTCCCGAAAACCCAAGCTGATCCAAAGAGAAATGGCAGAATAGTCCATACCCCAGACGATGATGTGTAAATCATTTGAGCAAAACGTAGACATAATCTCCAAGCACGGGCATTGCGACTGTGCACGTGCCACAGGCTTTTATTATTGTCTGCCCCGTCTGATTCGGTTCGCAAGGACCCTAAAAAATTCATAACATGTACCGCCGCATATCCCGAAAATCCACACCCGAAGACGGCGACAATGTGAACGCGCGCCCATCAGCCCATCAGCAGCTATCATCTGACATCAGCGACCAAGAGCCAGGAGGATGCCACTGAGCTACCCAACAGCCATCTCGCTGAGTGGCGGTCTTACGTGGCAATGACATGGGGGGATAAAAGTATCATTGCTTTTAGAGAGAGTCCTCATCGCGACGAGGCCTCCTTAGTGCTTCTAATATAACCAGACGGACGACGGTTTGGCCACGGCCAGCCATTGTGGCCACAATAAAAATTCGCATTCCCATTATATAGCCATCATTGTTGTTACTGCCGTTCCCACACAACTTGGCTAACGTATATATATATATATATATATGTATATGTATGGGTATATATACATATTCCTACCTAAATGGTTAAAGTATGGGAGTGTCAGGTGTGGGCAAATATAAAGAAAAGGAACTTGATTAAAGAGGGGTTTTTCATGGTACTTTTATTATATAAAGTAATTTATGATAATTATATATAGATAGTAGTATGCTGTTAATATCAAATATAAGTATTAAAGTTGAGCTTAATAAGAGTTTTAATCTATTAAATTAGACTCTCCAGGTTAATACAATTTTAAAAAGACAATTCTGTTTTTTAGTCCAAAAATGAAACAAAGGAAATTTGGCATGACGCCTTTTTAGCTCATTCAAGGGCATTTATATTGCATTTATTTTTTGAGTATTATTCATTTATATTAAATACCCAACCAGCAATCAATAAAAACTTACCTAAATGAAATGAAACCCATGTAAGGGTCAAAACACAGACAAAGCCCAGAGAGTTGTACATCGTAAACACTTCAGAAATCATTTTTTGGCCAAAAGTTGTGGGAAAATATTTATATAAATAGCTAAACCGAACCGAACTGAACTTTTTTTGTTGAGTTATATATTGCGTCTACAATTTGGAGAGCAAGCTCAAAACTTTCATTATGCAAAAGTTTTTTAATAAAAGTGCAAACATAGTGGCAGCTGACTCCAAAAAATCCCAACCTCTCTCTCTCTCTCGCACTCTCTCCCGCTCTCTCTTTTACTGTTTTTCTCAGCATTTTAGCCACATGGCACACATGCACTTGGCCGTTATTAAAAACAACAGTTTTGTTTACTGCCACACGGAAGTATGAGAGTGTGTGTGAGTCATCTATTCCCAATTGCATAAAATAAAGTTTTTCAGCGTTTTGCCTTTGCTAGTTTCCTTTTTTTACCTGGCCAACAAAGATATCACATAAATTCTAGTCTAGCTGGTGAAAATGGTATTTAATTAAACATTTGAAATTTGTTGCAGAAGTGCATAGACTAATATTGTTCTATGGCAATATAATTAATGCAGTTCACTCGTTATCTATTGACCAGTGATTTGCTGTCATCTCCATAAACACAACAATATCGAATGAATATATTGACTCGTGTTCACACATTTGCTTCTAATGTTGCATTGCAAATTTCATTCTCCGTCTGGCTTCAATTTAAATTAATTAATTTTATGTTCACCACAAGGTAAACTCTGCAGAAACTAATAATAATACATTGACAGAGAGAGAGGAAGATAGAGAGGTTAGAAAACTGAATAGTTAATTAAATATCGCACACTTTTATGTCGGAGTTAAAAACAATATTGTGGTATCGGGAAAATGGCACTAATAAAGCACTGAAATAAAAATCATAATAACATTTTAAATGTTTTATTCAGCATAAAAAGTGTGTGTAAAAAAAAGAGGGGGAGCAGCGCCATAATACCTACCAAATGAAGAAGGAAATGTTCGAGGCAAGTCCAACTTACACAGCCAAGTGAGTTGGCAGCGATATTACGTATACGCACGCATGCACATGGCGACATGGCAAATATTTTGTATGCAAAATAAAGTACTCGAAAAGTCACTTAAAGTGTGTCGCCGGGCTGTGTTCGAGGGCTGCTTCCTGGTGGCGGGGCATAAAGAGCGTAAAAAATGTTAAATGATAAATAAAATTTACAACCGCAACAACAAAAGCCACCATCAGACGAACCCATATGTGGCAGGCAAAGAAGTTCCGCCTTTTTTTCTCCTTTGCTTCCCAGCCTTCTACCCTCAAACGAGCGACATAATAAAATGCAATTTAGACATCAAAAATACACAGTAAATGGAGCAAGAGTAGCAAGTCGCAAGTGGCAAGGATGATGAAGGCGAAGAGGGGGGCAGGGGCAAAAGGAAGAGGTTCTCGCGCAAGGAGTCACAGACAGCCGCGTGACTGACAAGCAAGGGCCGAGGAACCACATCCACCACATCCACATCCGCGCCAAACGACAAACAGGCGAGAAAGACATACACAGGACAAAGGACGAAGGCACTGAGAAAAATTAGTAAAGAAAATATTTTGATGATTCAAAATAATAAATATAGGATATACTCAAATAAATTAGTTTCTCTTGATTAATAGTTGTATTTAAAAAGTTTAAGGAATTGGTACTTTATTAACATAATTCTTGGTTGAAGAAAAATATAATTTTTAAACGATATATAAAAGTAATCTGACTTTACTTTGTTTAAACTAACAAATGGTTATATTTTTAAGAAAATATTTAAAATATTTAAATTTTTCTTGCAGTGATAGCCTTCTATTCAGTGTGGAGGCTGTGCGTGCTGGCAAGAAGGATTGCTGGCGAGAAAATTTACTGAAAACGATATGTTACTCTTTCTTTCCGCATATGAGCCCTGCCCGCTGGCTACTCCGCTGTGTCCAGTGAATATTTAAAAGCTGTGGCATACTTTTCAAAATAGAAAAAGTAGCATGCAACAAAAAAAGGGGAAGGACGAGGAACAGAAGTCTCTTGGCCAATTCAATCGGGGCTGCAAATCAAAGCAGAGAGCTGCACAAGTGACAGAGGACAACGGCCAACACGAGCGGCATGCCAGCGCGTTGCGGGACAACAAAGGTGTGCACTTAATTTAATTAGACCCGGGAACTCTGGAACACCACCTACTCCTGCCTACCTTTTCTTAAGAGATGCTGTGGGATGGAGGTTTGCCCAAGCCCAAGCCCAAGCCCAGGACCAAACCCAAACCCAAGCTCAACTTAACCGCCCACATTTCGGGCCGAACTGGCGATGTAATGGTCTGGAAATGGCATTTGGCAGCCTGAGAACAACGTGGGAGAGTGCGCGAGCCTTTTGTGAAGATGAATTTCATTTCATTAAACACAAATTTCATTGTGTGCGCTTAAAGTGAAATTAAATAAATGAGAAGAGGGTCGGCGAGGAGGAGATGAGGTGCCAAGTGGGATAGTGGGAAAGGGTTATGTCCATGACAAATGCACCGTAAAATCGCTGCTAAAAACCTCGGTCCTTGCAATATGTGTATATATTTATATATATATATATATATGCCTTGCCATTTCCCGATCCTGTTTTGGTTTCTGTTTCTGTTTCTGTTTCCGTTCGTAGTATTTGTATTTTAATGCAAATTGTTGTAATGTTAAATGAGTCACAAAATTGTTGTACATCACGAGGATTAAATGAATTTTAAAACTCGACATTAAAAATGGAATACGAAATGTGCAAAACTGCATAATGATGATGTTCGCTTTGGTTTTTTCGTGCAAAGAAAGGAGGGACTCTGGCAGCGGTGGCGTATGCGTAATGTGCTTATAACTATAACGAAATTCGCGTGCTTTCGGAATGCAAAATGAGATGAAAGCAGGAGGAATAAGAATTCATAGAGGGAAAAGGTACTGCAAGGTGCTGCATCCTACCACCAACTCTTGACCTTGTGCAGCACTGTCTTGAAGACGGGCACCTTCACGGGAAACGGTTTGGGCACCTTGATGGGCACATATTTCACCACATGATAGGGCACATGCTTCTCCACTGGCACGGGGATGTGCTTTTCCACCGGTACTGGGATCAATCGTTCCACGGGCACTTTCAGTTCCTTTTCCACATGCACCGGAACATTCTTGGTGATGGGTATATGAATGGGAACTGGCTTACGAACTGGTATGATGACCGCATGCGATACGGGTATCTTAACTTCCTTCTCCACGGGAACATGTTGCTTCTTCACATGCTTCACCGGCACATAGTTGATGATATCCACATGATGGGAGTGATGTGTGTGGCCCTGGCCATGACCGCTTGCCTCCGACAAGTAGTTGGAGCTCTGCTCCTGGCCAGCATCGGGATGCTCTTCGTAGTCATCAGCACCAGATCCGCCTGAGGCAGATGAAGCTGATACCGCACCAGAACCAGAGGCAGATGGGTCATGCTGACCGAAATACGAGGAGTGGGGCTCCTGCTGTTGAAGCCTCTGAATTTGTTGCTGTTGCTGCTGCTGCTGCTGCTGGTGATGGAAAAGTTGCTGCTCCTGTTGGTGCTGCTGCTCTTGTTGGTGGAAAAGTTGCGCCTGCTGGTCATCATATCCAGAATTCGATTCATACTGCGGCAGGAAATTTCCCATTGAAATTTTATCGTACGCATACGGATGAGCCGCTTGCTGTTGTTCCGGTTGTTGCTCTTCAGGCACCGCCGATGACCAGGATCCATAGCCATGTTCAGCACCAGATCCTGATGACCCATAGGCCGGCAAATATCCACCATTGTGCCCGCCACTTGGATAATTGTAAATCGACGAGTGCTGTTGATTGCCGTTCTCCAGACCTCCGACAGATTGTCCGTTTCCCGAACCGAAATCATGAGCTCCAGCTGCTGCCACGGCCGCCACGGCGGCTTCATCTTCATTGTGCTCCTCGTAAATCGGTATCTCTTGTTTCGTTGATCCAAGGGCCAAAGCCTCCGTGTGTGTGGGTGCCATTGGTCGAGTTCCGTAGCCATTGGTTATATGCCCCAGACCCGAGAGATTTGTGAGCCCGTTGAGAACCGTGGCTAATCCTTGCCTGGAGCCTGAGGTATGGCTGCTGCTAAAGGCACGCCTATCGCCCGCATCACCTCCTGGAATTTTGGACAAGCCATACCGATGATTGGAATGATGATGATGATGATGCTGCTGCTGCATCGTTTGATCCATTGGCAGCCATCGATTGTCGAACAAAGACCCCATATTGTGATACGAAGCGTGGTTCTTGGCCGCTGTCTCCGCGCTGGTGGCGGTGGTGGTGCTGCTACTGGCGGTGGCTCCACTGACAATTGTCAGGATGGTGGTGGCGGCTGCAATGAGCGGCATCTGCTGAGGAGGATAATACAAAACGATTTATTATGCAAAACACTTTAGGGAAGGTATTTGAAGAGGGTAAAAAAAGGACATGATTTGACTAGGAAATATCCTAAAGAGAAATTTAACAAAGATTTTTAAGCTTACTCCAAGTAATTTTAAAAACAGAACATTTATATCCAAAAATTTAGAACTTTTTCGGGCTTCCTTTTTCTCTTTACAGCTTCCACAATCTCAATATCCCCAATATTCCAAGGATACCATGTACAAAAAAAAAGCCTTCTCAATAGCATGGCTTTGTATTCCAGAATTTTAGCATAATGCATTTTTAATATCCTTGACTGCACTCCTGCTCCTCCCACCCAATCCTCTTCCTGCAATCAAAACCCATTCCCATTGACTCACCAAATTAACGTTCGCCATTTTGCCTGGGTGGGCTTCGAACTCTGGCTGGGATTTGGGATTAGACCTTGATTGCTGCTGCTGCTGCCCGACTGCTGCGATGGGAATGTGGCCGAAATGTGACTGGGATAGCGTTTTTATATGGCCAGCGACTAGGACAGTTTACAGTTTACCACTGAGAGGAAAACTCTTACACAATTTGCAGCTTCAGCTGTGTTGATAGAAGGCGGTCGGCCCAAAAGTGAGTGTTTGCCATTTGTTGACCTGAACTGAGGCCGCCAGCCGCCTGCCGCCTGCCAGTTTGCCTGTCTCCCTTAGCCATTTTCGCCAGGTTGCCATTTGCCTCTCCCGCTTTTTCCTATGCATTTATGAATTAAGTTACGCGATCAATTCAAATCGCACAGAAAGAAAACCCAGAAGAGAAAAAAATGGAAATGTAATAACCAAATCATAACTGAGCAAAAACCGGATCTCAGACACTTGGAAAAACAATAAAGTTCAAAGTCATTTTCCATGACAACGACAAGGAATTAGTCGACTCCAGTCCAGCAGTTTGGCACGCGCCTCCATCCCAGTGCAGCTTCATTATGATCTCGCCACGATCACGATCTCCGATGGCCTTCACGAGGTGCAGTTACAAGAAACCTGCACTCCTTCAGTCAAGTGGTTGCAGTGGATGCTATGAAGTGGTTGGTTGGCCAAAAAAGTGGTTGGACAGCTTCGGGGAAATGCTGGACAAAAGCTGATTGCTGTGATTTCATGTCTTTGGGCTTTCTTCTGCTGCTGCTGCTTAAGGCCTTAAACATTTCCATTTGCCATTGTGTTCGGACTTGCCTTCACCTTTTTAGTTTTGAACAGAAAAGGTTAGTTTTAATTGTTTTAACAACTTTTTTTTTTTGGTTTTTTTAGCTTTTCTATTTTTTTTTTTTTTGTAGACCATTGTTCGACTTGCTTGGCAAATGGGGCGTGGCGGGGTAAAAGTGAACGCCTTTTAGTGCACCTCAGACATGATGCTGCTGATTATATTTTTCTTGCCAAGCGTAACAGCTCGTTAGTATTTTCAAGTGATTTTCATTTATTTTCCTTCAGCTGGCTTTTTGCTGCAGACGCCAGAGAGCAGAGACCAGAGACCTTACTATATTCGTACTGCCATTCGAAGAAAGGCCAGGCCAAAAAGGAAGTGTACTGATTTGAAAGGAAACAAACATTTCCCAGCTGCCCAGCAAAAGATTTGGGCTCTTATCGTTTGCCATGGCACTCACTTTTCTGTGCAGTTTTTTTCAGTTTTCTTTTTTCTCTTCTTTTTTGTGTTAAGCGAAATTCACGCTTACTTCATTTCAATTACAATTACATGATTTCATTTCTCTCGCTGGCTGCTCGCAAATGCAAAAATGATGTAACTTAGTAGAGGCCAACGTTACCAGGTAGTTACATCCAACTCCTCTCTCCTCCTCCTCCTCCCAATGGCAATGTCCAACAATTTTAATCCAAACCATTCTATGGGACAGAGAACCAGACCAATCAATAGCTTTGAGCTGGCATATACAAATAATAAACAACATGGAATCGCTTTTTTTAAATACTATATTTTCGCTTTCCCATTTATGTTTTACCTATTTTTGGGGGCCGTGAGCTCAAACAAATGACACAGACGTGGGGCACAGATGCAGTTGCCAATGCAGATCCATATTCAGATACAGAAACAGATACAGCTACAGATACAGAAACAGATACAGATGCATATGTAGTATGGGATGCAAATGCAGGCGCTGAGCGGGTTATAAAATAAATAAAACTGTTTCACATTTTTGTGCTGTGCTGGGCGCTTTGCTTTCGAGTCGTTTTCAAAAACTCTTTCAAATGTTGTGTAATATTTTCCCAACCCGTATATATTTTCCTTTTTTTTTTTGAGCTTCATTTCCCACCAAAAAAAAATATCAAAAAAAAAAAAAAAAGAGAAAAACTACAAAATATGCATTTGAAATGCCAGTTTTGGGGGGATAGAGAAGCAGAGAGGGGCCTGCCAGAGCAGATACGCCTGTCTGTGGAATATCCTTGTGCAACGTGCTCATATTTGCATTGTATTTATGCACAGTTTTATTGTTGTTTATTGAAACTGTGGGGATGCAACAAAGGCTATTGGAATGTTCGGTGCCTAAATGCAAATGCCAACAAAACTAAGCACACACTTACATTTTTTGTCAACTGGGCCATTTTCAACACCACAAAACCTGGTTATGTCAACCGGAAAATAATAGCTGGAATTTTAGGTTACCAAATTGTCTTGTTATCTTCCATGAAAACGAAAGAATTTTACACTTTTATACATTTTCCTTTTTTTTTTTGATTTAAAATTGTGAAATTATTATCCTGGATTTTACTGATAAAATACAGATTTTAGAAATGAAATTCAAATTTTAAGTGAAATTTCTACAAATTGATTGATTTAGTTATGAAGTTTTTTTTTTTATTAAATTTCAGAGATTTGTTAATTTTTGCTGAGACTAATTTATTTTTTCAAAAATGGATATTGTGCAAAAATATATGTTATTAAATAAATTTCCAGTTTGCTTAACCAGAAATATTAATGTCCCAATTTAAATATCCACTCAAAGCAAACTCCTTTCTCTCTTTATTTTCATTAAATTTTGCCAAAATTTATTTTATTTTTAAAATAACCAACCATAAAAATGGCCAAGACTTTTTCTTCGTGAATCAGGAACAAACTGATGTTTTTCATAATTTGGTTATTTTTGCTTTACAATCCACCCGTAAAGAGATGACGTTTGCGCTGAAGATGGCATTGGAGTGTGCAGGAGTACACCGGCGTGTCGCAATTGCGAGGCGTGTTTATTATCTGGCTGTGCTGAACGTCATGGTCGTAAATAAATGACGCTTTTGCATATTCTGCTGCCCCCAAAAACCCTCCCCATTCTCCCTTTCCCCCTACAACACATGTAAAAACAACTGAAACACCGACACCACAACTTACACCAACACACACACACATACGGCGGCAATAAAATTTTAATTATTCAATTAAATTACTCGAAGGCGTTGCTCCGGGTTCAAGAGTTTGGCAATGCAGAAATGACTGACGCTCATAAATTGACTACCACTTGCACGGGCAGTAGGCGTTGGTGGGCGAGGGCTCAAGGACAATGGAGTCGCACGGCGAAATCATATAAAAATGATCTTTTATTTAATTTGCAATTACAAGGAATAATTGTTGTCCCAGCTGCCTCCTCCGCCGCCGTTGCTCGTTAAATTCGCTCCGCCGACTTGCCACTGGCCACGCCTACGTTTTAAAAAACAAACAACCCGAAAAAGTCAGGGGATGCAGGTGTTTCCCGGGGGGGATGTGGCCAGCAAAATGATTAGCAAATATACACCGGAATAGGCGCACTCTTGGTAAGCAGTGGTCTAGGCAATAAACTTGGAGGACAGTGGATGTTAAGGACATTAAAGCCTGGCAAAAGGTGGGGCTTAGAAGGAAGGTACTCCCAGGTGGGTGGGGGAGGTCAAGGGGAACGGTGGGGCCGTTGGGCGCAATCCCCTCGGCCCGGTGCATTGGGCAAGGCACATATTTAATTAGCTACGTACTGCCGTTTTGGCGGGGGGTTTGGGGCCCAACGCCTTGCCGTGCCCATTCGAGTGGACGGACCTCAGGAAGTTAGTGACCACCCGCACCGGGCACGCGGCATAGTGAGAAGATCACTCGAAAATTCCAAGGCCAGATTTGATTAGGTATTGAAATGATAATGGATTACAACACATGATTGTGGCTCAACAAAGTATATCTATGTATAGTGAGTGTCCTTACGAAGGTGATTTGCTTTCAGTATAGACTCTACTTGTGGTTTTCCCTTTTGAGATTTGCTTAACCTAAATTTATGACTTTGAAATGGCTTTTTTTTTGCAATAAGTTTAAATTCTTATAAGAATATATTTTCTTTTGTTCTCTTTACTTAGAAAAATTCAAGTTGTATTATAAGGAATTTAAAAACTTTTAATTTGTAATTAGTTTTATTTTGCCCTTAAAAAGTCTTTAAATTACTTTTTTTAAGAGATAAAATGTTGAGTTTTATATACAAACGTTCTATAATATAAATTTATAAATAAATAATTGCATTAACAAAAATTTGTGATTATGGAATTAAAAGCAAAATTAAGCAGGCAAGTTAATTAAGTCCCTTAAACAAGTCAAAGAATCTTTAAGGAAATAAGTAAATAACATTTTCCCCACCACAAGGTGATTTTAAGTTCCCATTAATTGGTTTAAATGTTTCCTGGAAACAAGTTATGCAATTGTGCTGTAGTTGTTAACCTAATAGAATAGTCTTCCACTACAAATGCCACTTGTTTTGTGTACTTCGAAATGAGGGAATATGAGCTGAGGAGGTGACTACTAGGCGCATTTTATATGCATTAATCCTTATCATTCCTCTGATGATTTTATCAGTCAGGTTTCTGGTTGCTGTTACTCTGTGGTTGTTTGATCTTACATTGTTTGTTATTAATTTTGCTCTTGTTATATCTAGCATGTATTTCAGTTGTAAATGTAGCTCGTAGTTGTGGAGCCATAATTGTAGTTGTAGTTGTAGTTGCCTGTGGTTAATTCGCGCAAAGAGTTGTGCCCTTCCGTTTCCAGTTTGTTGTTGTTGTTGTTTTGCTAAAGTTGGCACCACAGCTCAAGCTTTAATGTTTCATTTCACAGAGCTGAGTTTGTGCTTAATGTGGGTGAACTTGTGGGCAGACCACAATATTAATTGTTTTGTGCCAACGAGGCTTAAAACACATCTCATCAGCAAGCCGATCCCTTTCTGTTAGTACCTCCTACCACGCCTCCTCCTCCCTTTTCCTCTACATACATTTTTACCCAGCGGGGGGTTTTGGCTTCCGTCTTTTTCATGTTCATGTTTTTGAAAAATCAGAAAACGCACAAGTTTGCCAAGTTCAGAGGGATCTGGACAAGGGCCCCAGCAGACAGAGGGTGGCCCAAACATTGAGCAGCTTCAACT